TACACACACACACACATAACGTTTTCATTCATACAAATACACATTATACACATATACAATACACATTACATAAAAAAACACATATATTTTAAATACCATTATCAACAATAACATCCTATTTCATTTGTTCTTTTTCCACTATAACATTGCAATATACCCATTACATACAATCCACATTTCTTACATACATAGAAATACACATTTATACATACATACAAATACACATTTGATACATACATACAATCCACATTTCATACATAAAAATACCAAATATACACAAATATGCCTAATTTCACATAATAGGAACAAATACATAATTTTTACAAATAATCTCGAAATTAAAGGAGAAAGGTACCTGTGGTGGCCGGAAATAAAAAATGGTGACTGGAGAGTCAACAATCTTTGCCGATGACAATCAAAAGTCCGCGGTGAAACTCCAAAAACTGAAAATCAACATTTTTCACAAATTAATCTCGAATATAAGTTGGAAATGAGGTTATAAGATAAAGAAATAGAGAAATGATGAAGGGGATGCAAACCGTTGACGGTGAAGCTCCAAAATCACCGGTACAGCCAACTCCTGTCGCTGGAACTAGGTGGTAAACAATGGTTGTGGTGGCTATCCGGTGGTTGAAGGCAGAGGAAGAGATCGAGAAACCGTGTACTATCGATCGACGGACGTTGAAGGTTAACAAGGATGAACTGACCAGGAAGGAACCGAAGCAGCAATCAGGAAGGAAAGAAAATGAGACGTGATGGGATGTTATTCCGTTGACCTTTACCGACGACAGTCAATGGCGGTGACTCGAGGTTATTACCGACGACAATAAGCAATAGCGGCGATAACAAAGGAGGGAACTTATCCCGATTCTTTTTTTTAACGACTTTTAGCGGCAAAATTTTGTCGTCGGTATTGAGTATGTGTGAAAAGGGCCCCCAACCATTGGATTAGAACTTTGATCGGACGGTTGGGATTTACCAGAACCTGTAACTGCAGATCCGATCCCTAAAGCATTACCGTTGACGTTATTAGCAAAGAATCAAGATTGAGTCGCCGCTAAAACTCCTTGTCGCCGGTAATGACATTATTTCTTGTAGTGTTAAGGACTAAAATGAACTGAATAGAACCGAAAAGAAGCGGATTGTTTGCTACTCTTTTTTTAAACTTAGATGGTTGTTTTTCGTAATTATTTACGGTATTAGCAATGTAATAAGATATATTTTCGGATATATTAAATCATTTTTATTGTTGGGTTTCACAAGTTTATATTTTAACATACTACGATTGTAAAAGGCTAGGCATGGGTGGGAATCTGTTAAAAATATTTTATCTTTTTTTTAAACGACAAATATACTAAACTACACATAAATTATTTACCTATGTACACTGTGGGATTTGAACCCTCAACCTTAAGGAGGGCGGGCAATACCGGATACCGCTGGGTTAGAAGTCTTTTGGTAGAAAATTTTATCTATATACTGCATTCATTACATATTGTTCAAAAATATATAAAATTATTAGTTATTATAGGTTCTATTATCTTCTAAAGTTGTGAATTTAGAATAAGATGCCCAAATGTTTGAAACTATATTACACAAAATATTTTAATAATTGATGTAGTTGTTCAAATTTTTTTTTGTTGTGTTACTTTATTTTTTGTGCTCCATTTTATTTTCATCCTGTAATGGTATTGATTTTATTGTTATAATTAGATAGTCCAACCCATAAAAAATAATCTATTTGTTAGTCTACTAGGTGTTGTTAATATATTATTACATGTTATCATACCTAAAATGTTCACATCATCATCCTAGTCACGTTTTTGATGTTATAACATACAATGTGAAAATGACCAACACCAAATTACATGTGATAACAATCCTTATTTTCTATTTTTTTTTATGTTTTTAATTTCTATTCTTGCTATTTGTTTTTTTATTTATGTAATAATATTTAAAATTATCATATAAATTAAATCATAAATTAAAAATAACATTTAAAAACTAAAAATAAAATTTTAATAAATCCTAAATTAAAAATAACATTAAAAACATTACAACAAAGGACAAAAACATTTAAAAACCTAAAAAACAATAAAATATGAGAAAAATTACATTTTTTCCGGTAAATTATTCATCTTCGGTACCATCAAAGATATAATCTGCCAAATCTTCTTGAAGTTGATTGTGTTTTTATTGGTCTTGAATGTTAACGACTCTATGTAAGTATTCAGCTGTCACTGGTTAAAATTGAGTGTGTCCAGGTTCCGTAGGCGAATATTCCGTAATGTTTCGTCCTTTATCTTCAATCACCTTGTTATGCATTATAATACATGCATAAATAATAACTCGTAGAGTGTCCAAGTGATATGGTCATGCTGCATATTAAACTATGTCCTTCTTCACGATCTCTATTTGACGTTGCACGCCGTGTCAATAGTGGAGCTGACTCTAGCGGTAGCATGTTCATAGAATATCGTTACATCATACTCACGGAGATATCATCGTCGTCGTTATCATCGTTGTATGAATGAAACAGATCAAAATAATCCATTTCTTAGTAAATAGAAAAATAGGAAAGAAAATGAAATTGAAAGAAATGTGTAATTGAGAGAAACTGATGAATTTTTTAGGTAAAATTGAGATAAAATATGTGTATTTATAGTAGATATAAATGATTTTTTTGGGGTTTGTGACCGTTTTTAAACGATCTAAAATATTACCGTTTGAGAAAATTGCAACCAAAATGTCATGTTCCCTCCTATTACCACAAACAAGGCTAATTCCAAAACACCCAATAACGCCATCCAGAGACGGTGTTTCCAGCGTTATGATGCCGTTTTCTGTTGCCACGTCGGAATAACGCCGACAGGCGTTGCCCATAACAAGTGGTCTTATAGTTATTTCGATAACCATATATCTTTCTCGTGGATATTGAAACAGATCTTATCTTTTATGACATAAAATTATGACCATGGATATTGAAACATAGATTTTTAATGGGTATTTCACAATACGCGAAAAACCTATCAAACCAAATGTTATAGCC